AAAGAGGTAGAGCTAACGAGAATGGGACCGTGCGCACACGCGTCCACTTTCCCTCATTCGTACACAGGTAAAAGTCGCACGCGTGGTAAGGAGACAAAGAAAACGCACTGAAAAAATATAACGAGATCAGAAATAGATTTTGCATGTGCAGAGAAGTTTTTTGAGGGGAGGGGAGGGGAGGGGAGGCGGGAGGTCGAAGAATTGTCAGTCGGCGTGCATTTTGACGACGTTGGTAGAGTTGCGTCTCATTAGTAGACAAACACACACAAGCGCGCACACACACATACACACACACACACATGCACGCACGCACGCACGCACGCACAAGCGCGCGCACGCACGCACAAACGCACACACGCACGCACACACGCACCACGCACAAGCGCACACACGCACAAGCGCACATACACACACACGCGGGTGCGCACACATACACAAACACACACGCGCGTACCATCGCACGCACAGATACACACGCACGCACGCACGCACGCCAGCGCGCGCACACACATACACGCACGCCAGCCCGCACACACATGCACGCACGCCAGCGCGCACACACATGCACGCACGCCAGCCCGCACACACATGCACGCACGCCAGCCCGCACACACATGCACGCACGCCAGCGCGCACACACATGCACGCACGCCAGCCCACACACACATGCACGCACGCCAGCCCGCACACACATGCACGCACGCCAGCCCACACACACATGCACGCACGCCAGCCCGCACACACATGCACGCACGCCAGCGCGCACACACATGCACGCACGCCAGCGCGCACACACATGCACGCACGCCAGCGCGCACACACATGCACGCACGCCAGCGCGCACACACATGCACGCACGCCAGCATGAAAACATCATGCAATTCGCACGAACGAAAAGAAACCCGTGCCGGCTTTGCTTTACGCCAGCTGAATAAGAATTCAGACCATTTTTCAAACCTTTTAGCAAATGCGGTTAGCCAACGCAGGTATAATACTTCTAATTGCTTTCGAAGGAATGGGCATTTCCTCCCTTCCCGCCAAAACTTACAAGCTTTCTAGACGTCGCAATGGGATGAAGATATCACTGCGCAGAGCCTCAGTTGTAAGAAGATTGCGTGCGATGTTGCTGAAACAGCGAACACGAAGCTTAGTGTAAGCTGTGGATTATTTAACAAACCATTAGCATCTCTAGATTGTCTGTAGCTTTGAGTAGTAACGCAGTAGTACCGCTGCGAACAACGCTTAGCTATTGCAGTTCTTGCAACACTCACAGTTCGATCAGGTTTTCGAGATAAGCAAACGGTCGTCCTTGAAACGACGATAACATATTGCCGGACATATCCCTGCAAGTAGAAAAAATGCATCGAATTAAATATAAAACGTAATACCAGGGGGTAGATAGCCCTAGTGACAATTTTCATTTCGATTTGTCAGTATCTACCCCTGGTAATACTAAACGCATACTATGCGATGGTGATATGAACAACACGGCAGAATAACACTGGTCACGAACCACACGCGCTAACGAATCACGCACATGTACGCACACGTCTGCGCCAACGTTTCCTATCTAATCACACGCGTATGAAGGCAGTGCACGCGCGCACACACGCGCCAGGGCGTACGCGCGCAAATACACGCAAACCGCGCACAACTGCACGGGCGTATATATAACCGCCCGGGAAGCAAAATTACTTTCCACACTTGAGTTCCGGACCACAGCCAATCAGCGCACTCCATTCACTCGACTTCCTCGAAGCAACAATGTAAAATGAATACCGCCTATACCTCCATAACCCTAACCCTAACCCTAACACGTACCCGAACCCTAACACTAACTATAATCCAACCATATATATACGAACCATTTATTACAAAACACTATCTATGGTGGGTCCGGAACTCAAGTGGGAAAAAAATTTCGCGCCCGGGAAGTAGCACACGACGCCGCACACACCGCAATGTCAAATAACGGTTTTATTCTTGCAGATTAATTTTCTACGAGTAAAATGTTCTAGGTGCGCGGATGCTGAATTCCGTATAGCACACTGACACGTGTGATATAATTGATCGTGTAATTATAGTAGTATCATACTACATACATACTACATACTAGATACTACATACTACATACTAGTTAGATGGTTGTTGCTGGCTATAGAATGAGCACAAGCACAAGGTCCTGTAGCATATCCACCTTACGACCATTCAATCGATCACCTACTTACTCAGTCGATTGATCGATTTATTTATTTATTTATTTATTGATCAATCAATATATCAATCAATCAATTAATTAATCAATCAGTCAATCAGTCAGTCAGTCAGTCAGTCAATTAGTAAATCAATCAATCAATCAATCAATCAATCATATATCATATTACAGACTATTCTGTAGATTAAGTTGACTTACAAGTACTGCAAATTGGAAAGTCCATCAAATGCATCTTCCGAGATAGCTGCGATGGAATTGAAACCAACATGACTGCGAAATAAAAATTGCAAGGTCAGTCAGTCACTCGCATTAACTGAGAACAGAAAGCATCTTTTTTATGTTAATACTACCCGAAACCTTCCCGAAAGGTCAAAAACCGAAGATATGTAGGTTTTCACGACATACTCGTACGACGCGTAGTTGGGGGTCTACCATTTATTACATGACATTCTCAGTAATAATGCAGCCGAAGGAGTTTGTGCGATAAAAGATGACAAATAGTAAATGACAAATACAGCAACGACGTGAAGAGAGATTCCTGCGATACTCTGCGATACTGTGCGCACTATATATTATGATGTATAAGTAGAAAAAACTGTGCACCTCGAAGACATTCATATTTACACGTACATTTCACATCAAAGGAGGGATATTTATCAAAGCCAGTCACACTCAGAATCCACCTTCTTGGTATAAAATATCTACGCACCCATTTAAAGATTTTTTTAGTTGATGTCGGTCAATATAGGGGCGTGGCTAACCATTTTTTCTAGGGGGGGGCAAACATATTATGTACGGGTTGTATTCTGGGCAGATGACGGTGGGAAATTAGCAATTTACCAAGTAACTATTGATCTTTTGCAAGGGTTCCTGTTCCGTTGCACATGTTGAAAGAAGTAGAGAGATTTCTGTAGACAAACCTGTGAACCCCCCCCCCAAGCTCTTCAAACCTATGATCGAATAATGATGATTCGGAGCTGGCAGAATTTTAATTTAATATCATCTTAATTTGTCGTTTAATTATCCGGCCGGTAGCTAGCTGTTCACTTTTCATCTATGTGACGCGTTGCCAAGCTACCACACCGACAGTGTCGACGAGCCGAAAAAAGTAAAGCTGGAACATGGAGTCGTTTCACAGTTTTTTTTTATTCTCTTTAAAAATCTAATAATCATGATGTGACGAAGATGAATACTTATGTTGTCGAGAAAAATCAGCATTTGGTTGCGATGAAAAAGAACAACTGCATTTCGTCGGAAGGAGTTTTCAAGCGCATAGAAAATTACAAGTGCAATTGAATCATCGTGTATTCGCGCATTTTCGTCCATACCTAATTCTTAATCAATTTCTGCTTTTGCTCGCAGCTGATTAATTATGAAAATTATCGCAATCTTCACGTCGCCGGACTCGCCGTCGTAATTACGGGTGACGTCACTTATTACGCATCAATCGCATATATTAATTGTCATTTCTGACATTCAGAGGAAAAGTGCAATAGGGAGCGTGGGACCGTTGTCAGAAACATCGCGGATAGCTAAGAGAACATATGTCGTCTAAAATGTCATAACCTCTTAAGTGAAGTGCCGTAGAAAAGTCATGAAATTTTAGACGATATGTTCGCTAAAACTATTATCTGATATTTCTAACAACGCACCTCGGGCTATGACAGCTGCCAGCAAGTCGTGTAAACGCGGTGAGAGGTTGCGACGATGTGAAAAATGCGGAGATATGAGCGTGGCGCGACCGAGGCGAAAGTTGAGAAGCTTGCCGAAGCATGCCGAAGCTTGCCGAAGCTTGCCGATGGTAAAAGTTCATGCAGACGACACGAACGAATAGCGGGTGACAGCTAAATCGTTTCCCGAGCACTCCACTTACAGCGACTGTAACCTCGAGAGCTTGCTGAAGATCAACGAATTCAACCGCTCAAGTTTGTTGTAGGACATATCTCTGCAAGACAGCGAAGGAGATGTCATTATTTAACAGCGTCCCACTAATTGTATTCCATCGTAGAGTAGTAGGTAATTAAAATAATTGCTTCGCAAACTAATGAAGACACCTATCTAAATGATCTAATAACACTAATACTACAATTATCTACGGAAAAGAAATATGAGTGCGAAAAAAAGTCCCCTGATCTTATTTCTCGATACTGATCATAATTTAATGCTCATTTTATGACGATTTCACGCAAATTTTCTGCTTCGTACAGAGAGGGGGAGAGAAAGAGAGAGAGAGGGTGAGCAAGAGAGGCGGGGAGAAAGAGAGAGGGGGAAAGAGAGAAGGGGGAGGGAGGAACGAGAGAGAAAGAGAGAGAGAGATAACGATGGATAGATAGATAGATATATAGATAGATAGAGAGAGAGAGAGAGAGAGAGAGAGAGAGAGAGAGAGAGAGAAGAAGAGAAGAAGAAGAAGAAGAAGAAGAACGAAGAGCTCTTATTGTTTGTACGAACGTACTTACTTATAGAGTCGTTGTTATTTTCTGTTGGTTCGTCGTGGTGG